CTGCTGCCTCTATGTTTGTGCTGCGCTTTCTGTCGGCATTTGAGCATGGGAGTAGTGCGGTGCCAAGTTTTCTGCTAATGTTGGTATAAATGTTCGTATTTTCCTGCCCATTAACAACTCTGCTGGGGAGTGTGCTCCAATAGTTGGGATGGCTCGGTAGTTTAGAAGATCTGGATACAAATGCTTGCCATCGCTACTTGATTTGATCAGCCTGAACTTAAGTGTCTGTATTATTCTCTCCACCTTCCCATTGGACCTTGGGTGATGCAATGACGATGGTTTCTGCACAATATCCCATTCTTGCAAAAATGACTACAATGCTTTCTGGTCAAATGGCGATCCTCGAACTGAAATCAGCACATCAGGGATTCCAAAGCGTGGGAAAATGTTCTTCAGGACCATAATAACTGAGGATGCCGTCTTCTTTTTCATACGTTTCACTTGAACACATTTTTAAAAGTAGTCAACAACGAGGTTGTATGTGCCGCCTTGATAGTGAAAGAAGTCAATGGTCAATTGTTGCCATGGTCGCATTTGCACCTTTCTGTCAAGCAAAGGTTGTTGAGGGTTAGACTTCTGGTTTGATTGGCATATAATATAGCTAGAGAAAACCTTGACAATGTCCTTGTTGAGTGAAAGCCAATAGACAACCTGACTGGCCAATCCCTTACAAGCCACTATGCCACGATGTGCTTGGTGAAGTTTTTCCACATACGTGATGGCAGAAAGTCTCAGCTTCAGTTTTTCTTTGCTGAAATTCAAATGTTTCTTTTTTGCAACTGTCAGTACTCTTCAAAGGTGGGCTATGTGTTATGCTGGAGTGCTAGAGGCAACCAGTGAGTCGTTGAAATATGCCTTCACTATGACTTGGCCTTGAAACACTTGTTCAATGGCCTGTTGTAAACGGTCGGGAGCTGTCGCAAGCCCAAAGGGTACTGTAAGGGAACGTTATCTGCCCCAGGGTGTTGTAGAAGTACACAGTCTTGATTTTGCTTCATCCAAGATCAGTTGCCCAAATTCACTTTTGGCACTGAGAATGGAGAACACTGTGGAGCCGCTTAGGCTTGCAAAACACTCCTCCCGTCGTGGTATTTGGTACTGGTGCCTCTTGAGAATTGCATTTAGGTAGCAAGGTTTCATACATACACACACAGTCCCATTTTTTTTTGTTACCACCGCAATCTGGTGTACCCACTCGCTATGCTCAGTCACTGGGACAATCACGCCGTTCTGCTCCATTCGTTTGAGCTACCTTTTCACCTTGTTCTTGAGTGCGCATGGTATTCTGCGAGGAGCAGAAACTGTTCGGATGGGACATCACGAAGGTGAATGCGATGCAGTCCTGGCAGTTGGCCGATACCGTCAAGATATCTGGAAACTTCTCCCGCTTTAGTTGTTACTGCTTTTGAGACAGAGTCCTGGGTGACCTCGTTGCTGCGTCAAGAATCATCACAAGGAAGAGCAATCCCAAAACCCTACATGCAGTGGCCCCCAGTATTGGCTTTAGTGGCTCTTTCACCATTATAGATCTGAGTTGGCACACCTTGTTGTGTACTAAACATGTGAGTTCACATTCATAATCTATCGGAAGCTGTTGCTCACTGCAGGTAGTGACTTTTGCTGTCGTTGGCTTTGGTGCCGGTCTGCATGGCCACTGAGCGAAGATCTGTTGTGAAATTATGTTGACATCCGGCGCAGTGTCTAACTTGAATGTCACTTCTTGCCCATTCACATTGACAGTCTCGATCCAGTCACCTGTGTGGACATAAGCACTGCATACAGTGAATCAGCCCGAGTATGATTCCTGCTACGAGTCTTCCTGTGGATGTTCGTCATAAAACCTAATTGGTGGTCTGCGCGCAACAGGCTGCTAACGCGGCTGATTGCACAGATCCCCAAATTGGCCCAGTTTTCCGCACTTGTAGTAAGTCTTGTCATAATCTGGGTACTGTAGAGGGTTATGCTGGGTTCCACACTGGGAACACTTACGATTAGGATTTTCAGATGAACGATGCAGCTGCGGTGGCTTCTTCGCACTTGTCGAATGACACTTTGGCTTGGAATGCTTTTTTTGCTCGTGGATGGCATTAACTTCCGGCTTTTAATCACACGTTGCAATTTCCTGTACGTGCGTATCTGAAAATTCCGTTACTTTGCATGCAGAGATGATTTTGTCGAGTGTTATGTCGCGCTCCCGCAATAGACATTCGCGGAGAGCCGAGTCTCGCGTGTCAACTACTACACTGTCGCCTATGAGTCTCTCGCACTTGTCACCGAAGTCACATTTTTTGCCTGTCGACGAAGGTCAATGACAGAATCATCTATGGTCTGGCCTGGTTTTTGAACCATTGAATTGAACAGGGCCTTTATTACGTTCTTGTACGGGCAATACATGTCACCAAACTTGCTTAGGATGTACTTAACCGGGTCTGCAACGTCGGTGTCTCTGGTAGGGTCTATGGCGAATGTCTGCGTGATGCGCCATGCTTGCGGTCCCAGAACGTGAAGTAGCAGGTTCTTCCTCGATGGCTTAGGCTTAGTATCGTATTCGCACGCTACTTCATATATGGCGTAGGCTTCCCGCATTCCTTCCATGCGGTTTACGGCTCATCTCCTGGCTGGAAATGCGGAAGTAGCTGAATTAAGGTGGTGGGCATGCTTGATGGTTGAGGGCGGTGATTGAATTTAGACTTCTGACACCATGTTTTGTTGCTTGGGGTCGTATAGACCGTGTTACTGGCGCACGTTGCGACGGCATGGAGCCGCGAATAAAAACACCGCCATGCGAGAGAGGGACGACTCGCTAGGCCTGGCTTACCTAGCCTTTTTATTAATCCTGAACGAGTTTGGGGGCACTAGAAACTATACATAACAGTCCCGTCAACGGCTGATTCTCGGAGAGTCATAGGTATTTTACCGGCTGCAACATCTAAGCGGTTAAGAAGCCCTCGCTATGTCGTCGCTATCAAGTCGGGGCCGTACCGATCACTCACTGCGCGCCGACTGCTGTGGCCAGCTCTATGAGCTAGCACTGACCACCGGCAAAAAAGAATGTGCTTCACAAAAAAGGCTGCTTGATTGAAAAACAGTCTCATGCGCCTTCCGACCACTGCTGTCAAATTACTAACTTGAAGGGGAGCGCCGTACGAGGCAAAGACATCCAGAAACGACTTACGACATGCAAGCCCGTGCAATGCATGCGAGCAACAGGAACCGCGGTTGCGAACCGTCTTGTTCGTTTAAGTCCATCCCTTTATAGCTCAAACTGCATGGACAGCGAGACCTATTTTTGTGCATGGAAAAAATAATGAAACGAAAAGAGCACAGCAGCAAGCCTTTTTTAACCACCAGCTGTTATTGATCGTATAACCGTGCCATACTCCTGAGTGAGGCCTAGTCATCGAATCAGGTAGCGGCAGTGTATCTTGCTCATCGCTAGAGCTGCTCAATGTGCGTCGTTGAAGTGTTAGTGCACGGCCGCTCGGGCTTTGTGTACGACTCAGTGCATTTTACGGATTCACACACAGTACACCATTGCAAATTCAGCACGTACGACAGAGCACAAATTGATAAAACCCTTTCGCTTCAGTTAAAAAAGCATCAATTTTAGGGGGCTTAGGGTAAAAGGCATGTGTTGAAGCTCTCACGGTAGGTCGAGGCAAATTTTTAACAACGCCGTGCATGTTTATTGCGAAAGTATTAGTAAAACAGGACCGCTCCATTGCTACATGGCAGCTCACAATACTGTGCCTATATATACCCGGTGACTAAAGAATGGGTGTGCAGCACGAGCGAGAGCTGTGGTAGTGTGTTATAATATTACTTTAATGTTGTGTGCATTTTTGTGTACTGTAATCAATATGGTGTGTTTCAGGGGCAATTAGGGGGGTCGTGAAACGATCGCTTTACAACGACGATGCTGCACCATCGGCCGCCACATAGCATAGGCTAACTGTATCATTAGCCCGAGTGGACATGCATAGACGCTTTGCCTAAAGAGGAGCGCGGAACTCTGCCATATTGAGCACACGCAAGAGGCGCTCATCAGCCTCTGCCATACGCGATTCGTGTCCCACAAGGCCGTTGCTTAATATGACGTCAGAGTTCAAGTTAGCGCCGATTGCGTATGACAAAGACGCTGATGAGTGTCCCAGTTGTATGCACTCGAAAGTACCAAAGAGTTCCACGTTCCTCGATAGGCAAAGCATTACTTATGATGATGTCACATAGTGCGTGTGGACGCCGGTGGCTTCGCATTGTCAATTTTGAGTGAGCGTTTCACGACCCCTTTAAAGTTACGCTTGTACATAGTATGGCTGCTGACGTGATTTTGATTCTCGGTGAATGCGAAAATTTATTTCCATGCTGATCTGAAGAAGTTGACCAATGGATGTAAATAAAAACTGCTCTAAATTCATTCTTTATCCCCTCGTGTTGGAGAGTATAGTTTTTACTGCTTTCAGACGGTGTTTTTAAAACCCCAATCTGGGCATGCGCTAAAAGACAAGTCTTTTACTCCCATCTCGGTTTATTTATGTTTACAGTGTATAACACCAGGGAAACCAAAGACAAGCCAGTTTAAGCACCACTGGCATTTTTACAGTTATGCTTTGAAATAAGAGAGCGTGAAATTCACATGACGTTTGCCGTGACATATACAGAGTGCCGCATTCTTCAATTGTGACCCTTTATCTAAATTCAGTGAAAAATATTGATAATGTGCACATGTATAAGACTTAGTGTACGTGTGACAAGTACTTACAATCAGTATTTCTAGCACAACATTTTAATTACCGCAAAATGGCACTGGAATAGTACCAGCAAGTAATGTTTAGGTACGCTTACTGGTAATACAACATTTCAATTATTAGTGATCAGCATCAATTACCAGTTGCCACAGCAAACCACATTTGATCTCTGTTACTACCAATACTGACTGCGCGTGGACTGTACCATGGCAACTACATTTTCTAACCACCTCCTTTTTCCTGAACATTTAGGTCCAACGTACCTAATCGAAAAAATATTATTCCAATCGGATGACAACTCATGTGGTGTATTTGATGTGCAGTATTACAAGAACAATGGTAAGAGCCTTTGGTACAACACATTTCAGTTTACCCCCATTTGTTGTATGCCGCGAATGATATAAATAATGATAAATTTCTTATTTGAGCTCACAGAACTCAGTTGAATAATTTCTAACAAAAGCGATGTGGTAGAAAAAGAACATCAATGCCTCTTTGTTGCCTCAAATATGCGCACCTCCAGAAAACACTCCGTGTGCTGGCAACACTGGTCGATAAAAGAAACTTGGCTATGCCTATCATGGTCAGTGCGGTACTTTCGCTTGGCGCTGCGCTGAAGTTTCTTGATTTTGGCTTCGGATCGCGTTGCTTTGCCGAAGACAAAACGGCGCTAGCCGTGGACTCATTCTCATCACCAATAAGGATTTCACTGGCGAAGCAACGGAAATAGTGGCGCTGAGCGTGCAAACATCGAGCCTCTTCGGCGAACGGCCTCAGATTTAGATCAAGTTGACGAACCTGTCCAGTGAGTATGAGGTTACAATGGTTTCAAATCTGCATGTTACACCGCAAATGTAGTCGAAAGACGATAATCTTGCGTCTGGAGAGAGTGAACAACACGTTTCTTTGATGTTCTGCGCAAGGAAATCGGTGAATGGTATTCTGGAGGAGCTGCGTTAGAGTGCCTCGAGCACGAATGAGAATGGTTGATATTGTTAAGGGTCACTTATTTAATAAATTAAATACGATGCACCGTGCTCGGCGAACAAGATGGCGACATTTCTTCAACAACCAGCCACCAACGTCGTCTTTCTCGTTTTTGCAGCCAGGCTGTGCCGGCTGTTGCGTATCAATACGCCACTTTAAAATCAGCACAACGTTGTGAGGTAAAGGTAAATTAGCCTGTAAATGCCTTTCGTGGCATTATTATCATGTTTGGATGTGTTGTTTACCTTCGTCATCAATTCACGTCACGTGATTCAAAATTTAGTATATATGGAGCTAGCAAAACGACCACAAGCACGCTATGAGCCTGCTATGTTGTGATGTTCTTGCATGACACGCGTGTCAGGATTATCATTTGTAAAAGTTAATTCGAGCGCGAACACACGACACAATCACTCACACACGCACACATCCAGGCATCAAACACAAGATTATCATGTTTGCAGCAGTCATATGCTTTCGTCATCCACTGACGTCACGTAACACTAAATTTGGTATATGTAGAGCTAGCAAAACGGCTGCGAGAGCATCATGAAGGGCCCAATGTACTCCAATGGAGCATTGACGCGTGCGTACGCTGGGAAGAGCGACGCTACGTTAGCAAAACGTGAGCACTCTATCTTCTGACGCCAGGTGTGGCCGGCACAACCAGCGTCCTTCGGCATGGGCTGACGGCAACCGGCGCGAAATGCGAGATGCTGCGTTTCGTGCTGATGCGTTACCCAGACAACACTGCGTCTCCCTATTTTCGAGACGGAGGAACGCCGGACATGCTGAAACGCGCATGCGTCAAAGCAACGCAGCGCAGCACACGCCTGCGAGTATATTGCAGGACCGGTGCCTGGCGTGGCAACGCTGGCGTGACCTGACGAACCGAACTTCGGTGAGCACGCGCCGCGTTATGTCGAAATGTATTGGCGCATGGACTGTGACCAGCGCCTCCTCTATTTTTTCTGCGCCTGTTGCGTCGCACCCATTCCCGTAGCTCTACGATTGGCACTCTAACTTTCCGAGTGACCACGTAGTGGTTATTACCATCTCGCGTGGCCTCTCTTTGCTTGACTTCTATGGGTCGATGCGGCGCAGCCACTAGCTTTTTCCAATTTTTTGCTATCACTTTCCTTCATATTCATTGATTTCACAATTATGCGTTTGTTTTGGTTACGTATCACGAAAAAACGCGTCGTAATGTGTCTTACTCTTTGTTTGCAAGCACTCGAAAGTTCGCTCTGCCGACTATCGATCCCGATCGAAATATGAGTGGAATTCACCGGTTGAAGTGATCAAACAAGACAAAGGAATCTTATATGCACAAAAGACAAAGAGAAAAATAAATGAGTCAGTACAAGTTAAGAAACAACCGGTTAAACTGAAACCACTTGTCAGTCCAAGGTTGAAGGTGCGCGCGTGTCGTGCAAGCTTTTTAACGCTTCAAATACTTCCGTGACAACGCCTTCTTTTGATAAAGCCTGGCTAAAGATTTTTTATCGGGGAAGTCAACAGCATAGTTTGTAAACAGCGCCTTCAAGAACTTTCTGCACAAGAGTTCTATTAATGTGCGCCTTTGTATTTGGTCACAACGGTCACACAGCAGTACTGGCAGGCCAACGATTACACCCACACTCTTCGCGACGCACATCTGTAGATACTTAAGAAGAGCTGCGCGGTGCAAAAGCATCACGCCCACAAATCTTTTCATGGCATGCAGCACACGCACGAGCTCCGCAGTGGGGTAGCACAAGCCACTTCTGTTCTGGTGAGAAATCAAGCCGTCCGTGGCACTGGTGCTGCTCCTTTATGCCTTCAAGACTATTGACACGCTGCGCTCGCTGTCTTTTCACTCATGACGCGAGATATGTATCCTGCGATGAGAGAAAATGCTGCTCAATCTGGCGTGGGCATGAACGGCTTCGTCGAAGTGCGGAGCTCACTGCTGCGACCGCGCTTGTTGTTGATGTGCTGCTTGACTCGCCGCTCCTAACAATGCTCCCTGAGGAAGCGAACGAAGCTGAGTTCTGCACATTATTGCTTGTGTGGGAAGCCGCAACAATGCCCGTCTTCAGCATCTTTTCAAGGCCCGAAAAAGCGCTTCCGACATCAAGCATATCATTGGAGCCAGTGCTGCGTCGAAGCGTCCCAAACAGGGATTCCATGGGGTCGCTTGGAAACTTTCTAGTCAACACAAATGTGAAACCTCTATCTAATGGAAATCTTATACATTGGATGTGGGAGACTGTGGTGAATATCAGTGCATAGCGAGTTTCTTTCGTTAAAAAGATCATTGGTGCACTTGCCATCTTGAGCTCTTCAATGTATTCTAAAAAAAGAAGTTCCAGCCAAAGAAGTCTGAAGTCCTCAGGATCATCAAACTGCCTGGTGTCCAATGGTTCTGGTAAATATGCTGCTGGCAGCGGCCCACGTTCATGGGAGTAAACCGACCGCTCACATTATCTATGAACTCAACAGTTGGGCTGATGCTGGCGAACTTTGCGCCGCAAGCGGGCCTTTCATGAACTTTCGTGAAGGATAAAGCCGCTGTCACGGCTAGTGAAAACAACTGGACGGCCGGCTTGACAACAACTTTTTTGAAATCAGGCAGATAGACGTGTTTCCTCGTGAGAAAACGAACCGGCTTGATAATCGAGCACCGCTGCAACATGTAAAGGTCCTTTCTGTAGGTTGAAGAAATTTCGCCATTTTTTCCCATTTCTCGTGCCAGAAATTGCGATCGGATGTTTTTGAGAAAGTGACTCTGATCGAACGCCCAAAACAGACTGCGGCTTTGGTCAGCAGGGCGAAGCACTCGAATTTCGGGCTGCCCACTTGCCAATATATCCATTGCAGCGACGTTTATTTTGTGGTTGTCCGTCACAACTCAAACTATTTCGAATCCCATTTCTTCAGTTTCCTTTATGGCGTGCTTGGTGCATTTCTGCAAGAAGTTCGCCAGTGCATGATCTGGTAAAGAACTATCTCACTGGGATCGGCAACCTAGAGTGAAGGCCACAGGTCAAAAAGCACAAAAGGGAGTTCGCAAGTTCGCTTCTTTCTGAGTCTGACAACACTAGGTTGAGAGCGCCAACGTTTATGTCTCTCAAGAAGGCGTCTCGTTGTTTGCGGTACTCAAGCCTTTGCTTTATTCTCATTTCGTCTATGAAGAGGACTGCAAATTTTGGCTTGCTCTGTCCCGATGTACTTGATTTTAGTGTTGAGCCTCTGCTTCACTAGCTCACTGAAACCTACTTTCTTCGGCATTTTTTCCGATGTATCTTTGTAGCGTAGTTCTGCACGGGAGTGCGATGAGCTCGGTCCTGATCTACTCGTAAGACTTTGTTGAGAGGCTTTTCAGAATCACGCACTGTCGCATAGTGGTTTCACACCACTTTGGTTTTTCACCTTGTAGTTTAGGACTTGGTCCATTATCATTCTGGCTTTAGTGCAGATCTTATCGCAGTCTCTGGCTACTTGAAGAAATTTGCTCACGTTGCACTCTTCCTTCATTCAATGCAGCTCTTTTTTGTAGGCATCTATTGTTGCCTACAGCATTTCATTTCGCTGCTTCCATGCCCTGTCTTTGCCGCGTTATTTTTCCTTTGAAGAAGGCTGTTGTGGAGCTTCTGCTGTCGGCTTGAAACCAAACGTCTTTAAGGCGCGTGCACCTGTACCGACTTTCGCTGGCTTCACATAATTTGGCTCGAGGAAGTTTCTGAAATGACAGTAGTGACTTGCTGCTGCTACAAAAGAAGAGTCTTGGATATCGCTTAGAGTAACACTTTCTGGCTGTTGCCGGCTACTGGGCCCTGTGGCTCCGTCAAGCGTGTTTGCGCGCACTTCTGGCACAGGGGCAGGGCGCCAATTGATTTCCTGACTTGGCCGTCTTGCCAACGTGTCCATTGAGGAATCGCCCTTTCTGTTTCGAGTGCTGCTCAGCTTCTCACCTTTGGCGGCTCTTTCCTCATTTAGGATGGCTAATGCAAAAAGGCACTTGGCGTAGCATCGGGCTTTAGCATGCGTCTTTTGGTATTTTCCCTAAAGTCAGTTTTCACAAAATGTAGGCTGCATACAGCCGAGTAATTTGAAGTGGAATTCAGCATCCACTTCTTCCTCGCGATAACTCATACCCATCGTTCACGTACCTCAGTGTTCATTGGAATTTTGCGAAAGGACACACCTGCTTCTTTCTTTCGCTGGCCAGAAGTGCAGAACGGAACGCAACAGCAGCGCATGGTGACTGATGAAAAAGCAGGATGACATCACCGTTGAAGCAAACAGACCGACCTACAACTGCCACTGTGACCAAACGACGGGTTAAACTTGTCGTCTGCAGGATGACT